GTTTTCAGCAGGATTTTGATCAAAAGTTTAGCACCAACAGACAGACGGGGTGAAATAATGTGATGTGAAGTGACTGGAAATGCACTGTAAAACTATTGGAGCTCTTCAAAAGGAAGCACAAAATGCTGTCAGCCCAAGCCCGTGGTTCACCTAGCCACTTGCAAGTCCAACCTGGAGCCTACCCGCCCCCCCTCTAGGATTTTGTCATCTGCGCCTAAGAGAGCAAGCAAACACCAGCCTAACTGGCACACAACCACACACAGTGATGGGAAAGCAACCGCAGGGGAAACTCACCTTGCAACTGCTCTGCCTGTCTGTGGTGTGCTCAGGGGCTGGCTCAGGAGGCTGAATGGAGAAGAAGGAGGAGGGAAATTTTTTTTTCCTCCAGCTGAGATCCTAAAGGTTGGTGAGGAAGGCTGGAGACTCCCCCTTAAAGCCAAACTCCACCTTATCCCACTATCACATGATGGTGCTCTGCTGAGCAGATCCTGAAAATCTCACTGCAAGCACATCACCTTTAAATTACACATCTGGGGGTGGGTTGCCTAGTAATTCCGAAATAATGCAATTAAATATTGAAACAAAAGAGGAGGGGGAAGAAGGCAGGGAAAAGCTCAGGAAGGGAGACAGTTTCAAACCGCCGTCTCGCTGTTACAGCATTTTGCCTGCAAGTTATTGCCATCTTGTGGCCAAACTAAAGATGGAAATAGAAGCTTTGTTGGAAAGTGGACGAGGAGGCTAAGTATAAGGAGCAAGTTAGAAAGTTTGAGTTTGGCTTTTTAAACCAGTACAGCTAGCTTCTGGTCCATATTTATCATGACGAGTGATGACTGGAATAACAAGAATTTTCAGGTTGCTGTTCTTGCTATTTTTTTATTCGGATAGAAGCAATAAGAAAATATTTTAAAACTAAATAAGATCAATAAAGTGTCAAATCCTAAGAAAATACATCTGTCACCGTGGCCCTTGTGAGTATTTTTCTGATTCATCCCAGACACGTGGTTCACCATTCTGTATGATCTGTGGAGAAAAAAAGGCATTTCTGCAGGTTCGTACAGAGTACTGGGGTATTCCAGGGAGCTGGAAAGAAAACGGACCCCTGAAAATAAAGAAGAAATCTCCATAGTGAGATGCAGAGCTGGAAAGGTGGTGGCTGTTGCCTTGGCCAGCTCTTCTGCTTCTTTTGAAAATGCCAGTTTCCAGCAACCAGACTTTGTTTTTTGATGCAGCCAGCATGAGTAGCTCTGCAAACTACCACCAGCTATAGGAGGGTAGTTCACTGTTTACTGAACAAATTCATAAAAAGCAAAATGGAAAATTTTGTTTTTCACTCACTCTTTTCATGGTCCTGAAAAACCTTGCTCTCTCACTCACAAAAAGCACTGATGCAGAAGGTCTAATTCAATGGACATAAAAACCAGTGAGCTTGGAAGTCCGAGCTTAAGAGTTGCCAAGATAAACTTAAGCAGCACTTTGAAAATGCCTGGACAAACCCTGCAGGCTGTATTCAGACTTTGGATTTCTTGCAAAACAGAAGTTCCCTAACTCTTCTAAGACTCCAGATTAATTTTTCAAGTGTAAGGAGCTATATGCTCCTACATTCTTACCTTCCAGCATACTCCTACTAGATGGCAACACTGTTATGTCGTGGATAACTCTCAAGTGAGGAACCATGTTAACTATAGCTAAAAAATTAGTTGCACACAATAAATGATTGTAACATTTTTTGCAGAATGAGGCTTACGAGAAGGTTTCAGAAGCCAAGCATAGAGGTTGATGCTTGCACTGTATTTCCAGGAGCTTGGCTCAACTGCATTGTAACTGCAGTCCTCCCCGTGAGAAAGGAAAGTGCAGGCATATCTCAGGGTTGCCATAAACCAGTATCTGGGGCACTGCTGACACTTTAACGGCAGCAGCCAGAAGGTAGATGCCGGCTGTATAGAATGCCTCTCAAGTATTTCAGTCATACCTGGGTCATTAACACGCACTGGTCTCCATCTGGGCAGAGCAAAGGTGGATACACTCAGGGAGACATCTAAGCTGAAAATCCCATAAAGAGCATATTTCTGTCTGAAGCACTGACACTCTAGGACATGTAGAACTGAGGACTCTCATTGCTATGGATGTGGAATGATCCATTCACTTTACAAAAAAAAAAAAGTATTATTGTCCAATATAGAGAATTTAAGGGCAATAGATGTATTGCTAGGCAGAGAAAAAGTCTTTTTCTATGCCAGGATGCTCCCACTACTTCCCTATAATGCTCGTACCCATATGGGCTTCCTCAGTAATTCTTATTCTATTGATGACCCCTGTCAGGTCACGAGAGTGTTGGAGTAGCAAGACAGCCATTGTGTTAAAAGATTATCCCCTTCCAGGGACTAAATTTTTTCAGTGCATCAAAGGCACGCTGCACTGGAAGACTGAGTTTGTTTGTGTGTGTATGTTTATTTGTGTGGAGGCATGACATTGCAAAAAGAGAGTAAGTACAATAAACAGAACACAAGTCTCACAACTAAGGAA